AGAGTTTTGGTTTGGGGTTTGGGGTCTAGGGTTTGGGGTTCAAGGTTTAGGGTTTGGGGTTTAGGGCTTATAGGGTTTAGGGTTTGGGGTTTAGGGTTTTAGGGTTTGGGGTTTCGGGTTTAGGGGATAATATAGCCCCTTAACAAGTCCCTGTGCAAACAATGCCCCCCCTCCACCACCCTATGCCAATGACGGAGCTTCCCATATCATGGCTTTCGGGCAGGTCAAGACCAATAAGTCCCAAACACATGCTCAAGTACCAAGGAGTCATCGACTCCTCTTGGGGTTTAGAGTTTAGGGTTTAGGGTTACACTACTCTTACGATCTTAAATCCACGGTTTCTTCTTGGGTCCTGAAGGAGCGTCGGGAAAGACCGTCGGATCACGCGTACCTTTATGCCTGGCTACGCCGAGATCTTCCAGTATCTCTTACTACAGATATATCTATACAGACTTCCAGTTAAAGTAGGATCCCGAATATGTGTTAATGACATTCCTTATATATAGCAGATATAGGGTAATATAGAAGCCGAAATAACTACCAATATCATTGTTAGAGTTCCTTATTATGGATATACTATGGAGGAGCCCGAAACCTTATTCTGATTGTCAAGGCCCCTACATGATATGGGAGTCTTTCCGACTTCCCTGGACCCTACGAAACCTGCATGTTTAAGGTTCGTTGTTATATGATTTCAGCTATACAGGGATTACTTTAAGGCCAAAGTATTACCTAGACCCTTAGGGCAAGTCCTTAATAGCTTCATGCAGGGGCCTTAATGCCTTAATGAGTACAATAGGGTTTGGGGTATGTTATGCTATAATTACAATCAGGAACCCCCAAAACCCTATTCTAAATACTAAGGCCCCTACATTACAGGTAGGCTTTCTGGATCCAGGCCGGCTTTTGGGGTTCGCAGACAACAAAACTCAAAGCTCCGCGTGCCGCGGCGTGGATCCCAGGCCTTCTTCCATGACTTGCCCGATGCTGCAGCTTGCATACTTGGGTTTTGGGGTTTCTTATAGGGTATAAGGATTTAGGTGTTAAGGTTTTCGGGTTTAAGGGTCTAAGGCAGTTTAAGGTTTGGGGTTTCCGGATAGATTGGGTTTCTGCATTTGCAGGTTTGGAGTCTGTGGTTTGCGTGTTCAGGGGTGTACGGGTTTGCCGCTAAGGGGTGTACCCACAAAGACCCTCTAAACCCTAAGCCCAGAGCCCAAAACCCAAATTCCTAAACCCGAAACCCTAAACCCTGAACCCAAATCCTAAAGTCTGCATTCTCTGGCTGATTGATTTCAAGCTTTAAGATTCAGTGTGTGGGATGTCGGACTGGAGGTTGCGAGCTGGGGGGTAACACTTAGAGACCCCGGGGACATAGTAAGTCGGTTATAAGTAGGGTTCTAATTGGTGTAACTCCTTTTCGGGTACTTATAACTCTACTTAGAACCTAGTTACTAACCCGAAACCCTAAACCGTACTTATAACCTAGTTACTAAGGCCGTGTTGCCCGACATCGTTTGCTGCAATGCCACCCTGAGCTCATGCGCCAAAGGCACAATCAACCCAGCTCTGTTCACGGCTTGTCCATCAACCTGTCACCCTAAGTTAGAGCACTAAACCCTGAACCCTAAACCTTAAACCCAAGCCCGAAATCCCTCAGCCGGACGTTCATCTTATACAACCTTCTGCATCCTGTAAACTCCTTCGGGATGCTTGGTTGGGTGCAATCACTCACCCTCAGGGTCCAAGAGCCTATCAGCAGGGTTTCACGTATTCATACACATACATACATACATACATACATACATACATACATACATACATGCTGCATACGTACATACATACATACGTACGTACATACGTACATACATACGTACACATATACATGCGTGAGAGGCTTTACACGCCTATACCTTGAATTTATGGTAATCGGACTTAGTAAGTACGTAGGGTTATGAGGATGTGGCGAAAGCTATCTCCTTAAAACCCGGCGCTTCAACTTTTGGGGAATTTTGTAAGGCAATCTTATTCTGGAAATTTGATCTTTTTGCCCCAAGAGCTATCGGCAAGCAAGTAGATGTTCTTGCGTAATCCCGTTTAGAGTGCCTTCTAACTCCACTAATATAACCTCGCAGAGGGTCCTTCGAATAAGGCTATGTGCGCAAGGGTTTAGAGTTTAGGGTCTAGGCTTTGGCTGGCCTGTGCCCAAGGGTTAAGGGGTTGGGGTTGGGACTGGGCAGCGTTCTATACGGTTTGCTATCAGGGTTGAGTTTTAGGGTGTTATAGAACTCCATGTGCCTATGCTGTACTTGTTTAATCGTGAAGGCCTTCCTAGAACTGTGCTTTACAGCCATTGTATACATCCACTAGGTACATGGACCCTTAGGCTTTGTTGCGGTAGTTGATGGAAATCGGTTGTGCAGTGAAGGAAACCCCGCCAAACCTCAACACCATATCTGCATGTAGACCCCACACCATCCTAAACCTTGCCCCCCTACCTTTTTTGCAGGGTTGTAGAGTTTGTTGTTTTTATGGTGTACGGCAGTGTGGGGCTTTGAGGTTTGAAGTTCTGCGTCTAGACACTTGTAAACTGGAAGGTATTTCGCGGAGCATCTGCTTGTCAAGTGTTTGAAGCCTCAGGGATGCCATGTGCTCTTGATTAGGTCGGCATCCTAAAGTATATAACCCACATTTGGCTCTTAAGGGCTGGGTGGGTAACCTTTAACCTTTTGGGGCT